GGTTCAAAATGCTTAAAAAATTACTTTTTTTAGTCTTTAAACTCTGAATTTAAGGACCTGCAAATTATACATTAAAATATTACACAGGGAACCATTTCCCCAACAAGGGGATTCTAAATCAAATCTCTGAGGAATTTAATTGGCTCTTGATGTCCAGAATTTTTTATTTCTTACATTACGAAGTTTCCCTTACTCATAGGACAGAAGTCGTAAGGTTTTGCCCATGGACTTTAAACTCAACGTAGACGTGGTAATTAAACTAACTTTTCATTGGAATAGTTCATTGCAATCTAATTAGGTGTCTTTTGAGTGATTCCACATCAATGAATGCTATTTTTATGTTTTTATTTTTTTTTGTTTTGACTTAAATGGTCGCCATTATTCGACATAGCCCAAATGCGAACAATCCAAATTTATTGCCCACTTAGACCGCCATCTTCATTCTCATCATATTTTTCCATGTTATTGTTATTTTGAGGGAATAAAGAAGCTTTTGTTTCATGAAAATACACTCTGCCTCCTGTCAATCTCCGTGTTTTATGAGATCTCTTTAAAAATGCTATCCAAATGTATAAATGTATCAGTAATAATAGGGCTCCAATGTGTGATTTGACATAATTTTTATTTTGAAATAAGCAGAAATGAGAATAAATGGATTGTTTATTTGATTATTTATTATTTTAATGAAATTATTTTATTTTGTTCTTTAAGGATTGAATCAGTTTTTAGTTCTTTTGTACTAAGTCTAGTTTAATTCCGTTCTAATTCAGTTTTCTGAAAATATTCGATGTAATTAATCAATAGTCATTAAAAAGACTTTAATTGGTTTAATTCTGCTCATGTGTGTGATCTCCAAATTAATTCTATTTACGTTAAAAACTCGTTTGGCATGTATTTAATTTATCTGTTAAATGTATTGGAAGAAGCGTTAATTAATAATGAAAGCTTAAAATTTTGTACGCCTTTTGCATTTTTCGGAAATTCTATCAATTTAGTACATTAGGCGTTCCAGATATTCCATTTTATATTTTTTAAAATAATGCCCCGTTGATTCAGTGTCATCTAGGTGCATAAACCTAAACCTTTACTATGTTGAAAAGATTTTATTCCTCCAGCATAAAAAATTGTTTTGTCATAATCCATGACTGGTAAAATGATATAAAACATGAAAAGGATCAAAATATGATTAACAGCAGATGAGTGGAAAATGTGGGACATATTGAAGAAAGGAATAAAATACCGAGGACAAAAGTGCTATCATTTAATTTTGGCTGTAAAAACGTTGAGTTAAAGAATGAAATGAAGGTTAGTAGTTCCAATTTCTCTTGTTATCTCATTGTACATTTACACTGTTCAAAAGTAAATAGAAAATCGGCCAAATTACGCGGAAAATCAAGTCATAAAAATGCAACTGTTTCTTGTGCTCTGTATGAATAGGCGATTAATATTAGTTGCTATTCCCGACTTTTTTGTAAATTTATATTCAATCGATCCGCTAATTTGGATTTGGATTTGTAATATATTATAACTAATCTAGCTATTACGGTAATTGTGTATTGAATACTTTTACAATTTTCTTGATATACTTTTAATATACTTAAAAGAATATGTAGCACTTAGCGAGACAGTATAACAACAAAATTTCGTAAATGTCGTTTCATTTTTTAGCTCTTTCTTTAGAAAAGAAACACTGTGTTTCTTTTAATTTTTAACATATTGGCACTTGGAAAAGCGTTTACACCAAGTTGAAGACTATCATCAAGTGACAATTGTCATTTTAGACATAAGGCTGTGCATAAAAAGAGCAGATGTGGATCGATTTTTTGCGTTAATAGACTATAATAACAAAGGCAGTGATAATTGCATTCATCCGCATAATTTAAGAGTATTTATAATTGCTTAAAACTGTTTGCTTGGCGAGGTGGCAGCTGAGGTCACTTAATTAACATAAAACTACATTAAATGTTAAAATCAACTTTTGTTCAAGTTGATTTGCTTTCTACCTTTTTTATTAACAAGAAGCCTTTTGTCATTTATGTTCCTTTCGGCATTTAATTATAACTTTTTTCCTAATTCTTGTGGCTTTATTTCCCTTGTGAATAATGGCTCAGGCATAATTTCGTTAATTACAAAACGAGAATTATCCAAGTGTGGGCAACCAGAATTTTAAAAAGACATCATAATGACCAATAACAGCCTCTAAATTATAGGTGTAAGAAATTATATCTTGGTACAACTAGTGAGTGTCTTTGATAATCAATAAAAACGCGTAGAAAATTAAATAGTGATTAACTCAATCCACTGTCAAGTAAATTATTAACCAAGAGGCAATTTTCCTAATTACTTTATGATAAGTGCCATCAATAATTAATTTTTTTAATCCAGTCGAAATCCCCCTGGGGTGCTCAATTTTTTTTGAAGTAAATTTAAATAATTTATTTTTATAAGAAAATAGGCATTTATTTATTTGCTCTTACTTTAGCTTTGTTCTGTTTTTAAATTTGGCTAGATTGGCAAGAATTTATGAGTTGTTAAAATATTAATTTACTGCGTTTATTTGGATTAGTTCTAAATTTAGCTGCAAAGTTTTCGCTGCAATCATATGACGACAAAAGGAAGTGCGTGGGTGGAGTACTGGATTTCTTCCATCAGTAAAATTGCCAAATCAGTGCTACTTAAAATCAATAAGTAGGTATATAGCTGTTATAAGTTGTGAGCAAGCCTCATATTCCTGCTTTTAAATTTGAATCAGAAGAGAAGTGCTCTAAGCAAACTCGGCTGCATTAAAAAATTAGCCATTAGAACAAATTTCTCAGTGTAGTCTCTCCTATAAATCAGGCTCATTATTGTGGATCGATACCTAGATCGGTCTAATAGATGGGGTTTTGATTTAACACATGTAGACGCCACGAATTTGATTTGCTTTCAGCCGACTTCCAAAATCTTGAACTAATGGTAATATCAAAAATGGTCATCCATATGTTTAGTTTTATGTTAGCTTTTTTTATTAACAAAATGGCTCTGGAGGCGCAAGCGGTAACAGTGGTGCAGTTTAAGATGCAATCATTTGATGACCATTAGCCGATGGTATTTTGACATGGCGTACATTTTTAGCAGTTAAAACAATACTCAACCAACATCTGTTTGTTTGATTTTCTGTCCTCTTAACCACAATTTTTGCGTTTATATGGCATAAAGTAAGCTTGTAAAGTGAGCTTGTACTAATTTGAAATTAAGGCCAAATATTTCAGGTTTGTTAATGAAAATTACTACCGTATATATTACATTTTAACGTGAATCAGTTTTGAATGGGGAGTGTGCAATAGACTTACCTCCACGTGATGCATCCTGGGCAACGTATACTCATACGGCAAAAAGTCTATAAACCGGCAGTTGAATTCTCACTTCAAACTACTATGACCCCATTGTATGGCAGTGACATTCTCACTTCAAACTACTATGACCTAATAGCATGTCATATTCGCCACTTCCACAGTACTCGCCTTACCTTTTCACTACCATAGTGACTGTTTCCCTTTTACATCTGTGACTCACCCTACTCTTCCCCTATCGACTTTTTGTGACTTTGATGTTCCTTCCCCTCAACTAAAGGGCTATTGATAACTATCAAAACGTCCGCCATTTGGTATAAATAAAAAATTAAAGTTTTGAATGTTTACAATGAAAAAAGATTGGCCCACACAAAATTTGTTTTTCGTGTTTCCACATTTGCCATTGGAGAGGGTTTCAATGTGTTTGGATTAAAAAAGGAAGAAAATTGTCAAAAGGAAGAAAATTGTCAACTTATTTCCTTCGCAGTAGCAGAAGGATAAAGAAACAATTTTGTTTGATTCTCAATTTCATTTTTGTGAAATTCGCTTTTCATTTATGATTTCCCCCAAAAATTGTGTTCTTAAACTGGTTTAGTGAACGTGAATTCACTATTTGTGCTTAAAGGCAGATTTTCGAGGAACAACGGGTTTAGAATTTGAGGGATAATTAAATTTGAACATCAGACAATCTGTTCTTCTTTTTACTACCCTTAATCAATAGAAAATAGATGTAAAAGCTATTTCCAATCTTCATTTAATTTATGTTCACCGTCTATCCACTTATTCTGCCCTCCGATCTTCAGCTATGGCCTTTCTTAATTTTTAAACCTCATAGATTTTGAACGGCGTGTATTTCCTATTCTGCTCAAGCATCTCTATTTTTTCAATCCAATTTAAGAATTATTCTGCATACCAAGTTAACCCACTATTTCTTTAACTGATATTGTACAAGTCAACTCGTCTTACGGATGAGCATTTTATTTCTTCCCCCAATGTACTTCAGAAGTGGAATAAAGTTATTTATTGGCTAATCTGTAGAGGTAGTTGAGTCTCACACTGGTTCAGATTTAAAAGCAGGTTACTCAAGGTGGTAAAATTATGCTCAAATACCAACTCACTTAAGCGCACAGGCCTACTACGAAAAGCGTTCAGTTGCTTAGAATAGCCATCGATCAATAAAATTGCGTCCGTACTACCCTCCACGCGTAGCCCTAGGCGTAGGCAATTATCGATCGATGCAGACATAGCAGCAGCTGCTGCTAAAATTGCATTAGACCGACCGCCCCCGCAAACCCGTGAGTATCGTGTGGATGGGTGTGCGAAAGCTAGTAGCCGTTGCTGCTTGCCCACTCTTGGCATGAAGTCTACTCTGGCTAGCTTTGCCATTCCGGCCAGCATCGATTAGTGCGCCTGTTGTGATTGGTTGGCCGGTGGGAGAAAGGGAGGAGTTGAAGAGTCGTGCTGCTCTTTGCTTCAATGCTCCCTGTAACTGCAGCTTTAGTGTGTTTTCGTGGTCTCTCCCTTACGTGTGTCTCTCTCCGTGTTGTGATTCCGTTCGTACGTTCGTTTTGTTCGTTCGTTCGTTAATTGGTGTTCATATCAATCCAATATCTCTGTGTTTTCTACTTCAACATCTGTTGTCAATCTACCCGTCGTAACAAATTGAAAATGTTACAAAATAACACCAAGAAAGAGAGCGAATCCTCTAAGGGAGAAGATAGAAAATCTGAAACTAGTAGCGTTTCCACGACAACTTCTAAGGGGGATAAGTCACAGGATGGTATGAAATAATCGGGCTATTTTTGTTATTATAACTTACTTCAACTCTTTTAGAAGAAAGGAAACTTTTCGTTGGAATGCTGAGTAAACAGCAGAATGAGGAAGACGTGCGAAGGCTTTTCGAACCTTTTGGTACGATTGAGGAATGCACAATACTAAGAGATCAAGCAGGAAATAGCAAAGGTAATGGGGCAATTTTCAATCTGCCATGAACAGGCAATCACTCTCAAACAAATGCGAAATCATTTAGGAATTTTATAAATCCGATTAGATAATTAACAAGTCAATAGTTACTTCAATGATAAAATTCTTTAGTATGGCTAAATTCGATCACAATTTTGCAAATTTAATAATTCAAAATTTGAATTATGCCGAAGTTATTAAAGTGTTAAATACGTAAATACTAAATTGTTAAACATCAAATTGTAATAAACAAAATGATAATGGGTTTTTGTGTCAAAATCCCATGAGCCCGATATTTATACTTAAAAATTAATTAATAAATTCGTGGATTTATTCTCCTATGGCATTACAAATCTAGGCATTTTGAAATTTATCTCAAATGTTCTAGTAACCGCCAATGTCAGCATTAGCTAACCAGTTCATTAAGGGACACAGGTAAAGTTTTGCATTCTTAGAAGACCTAGTAGTTGGCTTGTCTATAGCTTAGGTAATTTAGCGATCTCCCCCCCCCCTTGAGTCTAATTAGCCAGCTGACTCATCATCGCGGGATTTATTTGGGCATATCAATAACCAATACCTCCTCTCCATATTAGGCTGCGCCTTCGTCAAGTTCTCAAGTCAGGCTGAGGCCCAATCAGCTATCGTTGCACTACATGGAAGCCAAACAATGCCAGTAAGTTCCAAAATAAGTCATTAATTCAATTTTCACAAGGGTGCGTCATCTAGCATAGTGGTGAAATTTGCTGATACCGAGAAAGAGCGTCATTCCCGAAAATTGCAACAACTTATTGGACCTCTGGGGGTCTTTAATCCAGCACTTGCTTTATCACAACTGGGAAATACAGCCTACACGCAGATACTAGAGGTGAGAGCTACTAATCTATCATTTCAGTAGTTTGAGCAAAGTTACTAATACTCGATTTTTCCTAGAATCTTTCGCAAACTACTGGATACATCAATCCAGTTGCGGCTTTGGCTCTTCAATTACAGCAAGTCCAACAATTGGCCGCGGCTACAAATCCAACAGCGCTTACGGGTTTGGGGCTCGGTCCAGCTCAGGGATTGCCCCTATTTCCACCCCCAACAGGAACTAGCGGAGTTCCGGTGTCAGCTGCCAATCAACATCATTCGCAGGCTACCCATTTAAGTGGAAATGGGACAAATGGCATGACTAACCACGTACAAAACACTGCTTCCACTACTGGTAATGCAGCTCCATCAATCACAGTTGCAGCCGCAGGTGCTAACCAGTCAGCTGCAGCACCTACTTCAGGACCGCAAATTAGTTTGTGCAATGGTAGTGCGGCCGCACTAAGTGCTGCACTCGCAGCCAATCAGCAAAACAATATGGCGCTTGCTGCTGCCGCATTGGTCGCTGGAGCGGGACTCAATGGTAAAATATGTAACCTTATGAAAATAATACTTTTTAAATCCTTTTAAATAAGGCATGCGAATTACATAGATTATTTATTCACGAAAATGAATGGCTTTTTTGTCTACAGATTATTGCATGTCCAACACTCATGCATTCTTTAAAAATTTAGGTCCTACTCCGGGAATAAATTTGAATTCTCTCGCGTCCCCTATTCCTACCTTAGCAACAGCTGATCCCCTTTCTCACCTTTATCACAATTATACGCATTATGGTTTGTGTAAGTTTACTTAATTTATCCATTTTATTGTCATTATTATCATTGTGCTTATAACAAACAAGCTTTGATCATATGAAAGAATTTGAATAAGTGAATCAATAGACGAGGTAACAAGTGTACGAAGTCAGGACATCAAAAGACATAAATAAATTTGAGTTATGGAAGCACTTGTTGGCTATATTCGCAAATACGGTAGAGTCTTCTTTCTGGTTTATCATTAACCAATCTTCATCGTCAAGCATGAGGTTAGGTTGGTTGACTGTTTTAACAGTACGATTGGTCGTGCCACTACAACTTACTAATTTTTACCACGCCTAAGTAACTGAGTATTTTACATGACACTGCTTAATTCATTCCAATTAAGGCTAAACGTAAAATTAGTTAATCAATTTCAGTAGACATATTTTGGATGGAATGTTAATAAAACAGTAATGTCTTAATTAAATTACGCCACGAAATTAGCCCAATTTGTTTTTTTTCATTTTGGCAATTTTATCGATTTTTTACTAATGCATTGAACTTCCCGCAGATGTAGGCTTGAAACTAGGCTTTCAGGTCGAAATTTTTCAGCTCAAATACGGATTTTCAGTTTTGAGAAAATGCAAGCCATTACTCCTCCGACTCAGTCACCCACTCATTAGGAGAGTATGGCTGAGTCATTCGTCTATTAGAGCAATTAGAAACAGTTTATTGCGCATTCTCTCGTCTCGAAAAATACGCTTTGCTGACGTGGCAGTGCTTAGCAATCATCTAGCATGTTTGCCCACTTCCTCTCGGAGGGTTGAGTCAATTTTAAACTCCATCAGTCATAAAGGATCTTTAGATATACTTGTAAATTATCAACTAACACACTATCACAATACGCCTTAAATTATATTTTGTCCATTTTAGCTCCATATGGCCAAGGAACACCTGCGCCTCTTCCCCAAATTGCATCGTTGGCCCAGCAGGCTCTCAACTTGCCAGTTCAGCAGAAAGAGGGTTCACGAGACCTCATCCTTACAGGTACGTGTTATGAGTCGTTCGTAACACCTGAATAATATCAATTACTTTCCAATTAGTGCATATGTTTTACCCCTACCTTGTCAGGCCGACCTTTTAACGGAGGTATCGATCGCAATGGCCTCATTCATTGGTAAACACATATGTTCCCCTTCTTCCGTTAAGTGTTGTTGAAAAATTTAAGCGAAGTTGTAGTGTAACAAAAGCGTATTCTTAAAGTCAAACATCCAGTGAGGTGTCTTTGAAACGTTTCTATGTGCCCCTGTGTGGTGTCTTGTCTTCTCTCGTTTCTTTTCCGGAAGAATGGGCATTCAATCATTCCCTATCTTGCCGTCATAACGGCGTTGTCTGTTGTTTGTCTTTACCTTCACTAGGTTGTTGTTTAATCGGTAGTTGAAATTATGGCCCCGATTAAGCTTAATGGATATGACTATTTCCTTATTGTAAAATTCAGCTAACTTTGTAAGCTTATATGTGATTTTTGTGCAGGTCCGGAGGGATGCAACCTATTCATATATCATCTGCCCCAGGAATTTGGCGACCCCGAGCTGGCTCAAATGTTTATGCCGTTTGGAACGGTAATTAGTGCTAAGGTCTACGTTGACAGGGCCACGAGTCAAAGCAAATGCTTCGGTGAGTTTGCCAACTTCTTATTTGCTAAACTTGCAATCATAGGAGTTCTTTTGACTCGCACACACACTCTCTCTCTTATGCCCTATTAGGTTTTGTGAGTTTTGATAATCCCGCAAACGCTTTAGCTGCGATTCAAGCAATGAATGGCTTTCAGATTGGAATGAAGAGATTGAAAGTACAGCTAAAACGCCCCAAAAATGATTCCTCTAAGCCCTACTAATCCACCCCTCCCCCCAAATCAAAATTCCCAAAACCACCTCCTTTCTATGTTATATTCCATTTCGCATTCTTTCAAGTAACCCGCAACTGATTTGACTACTTTGAACACCACACACATTTTAGCATGCTTTTTAATCAACACCAAATATTGCGCAAATACGAAAGTGAAAATAAGACAACAATCGATTTTGTTACATACACATGCCAATTGTTTTAATGGGAGCCAACGCGACTCCACAACTTAAACAAACAACCAATCAAAGTCCCAAGATCTGTGATCCCTTGTAATTAAACTCTCTATCTCGCACAATAACGAACCACAATCAGCAATGGATTACCTCCATTCAAAATGTACAGCTACTTTTTTGATTGACTACTCCAGCAACATCATTCATTTCCTTATCAGCACATAATTACGATGCCAATTTTAACTGAAACATTAAAACAAGCGATGCCAGCAAGTACGAAAACAGGACTGGTTGCTTCCTTCAACTTGCTATGACTTCAAAATAGCACAAAAGTGGTTTCATATTCTTTTCTTTCCTCTTCCCAACTCTCTCCTTTCTATTCCATTCCCATTCTCCGCAGACACTTTTCATGGACAAGTCAACCACAAAAGTGGTGTTTATTTACATCCCATTTAAACGCGGATGGTTCATTTTCAGTTCCTGCAATATGTTTAAATATATATACATATATGACCAGCATTCGAGCGAAGAAAATTTTCTAACCAAGATCGTTCAACAACTGGTGGTTTAAAATTTGTGCTATATTTGGCCTAATGAACTGGAACAGTAAACATAGAGTTTGCTTAGTGAAACATTGCATCTAACATTCATTACCTCTAATAGAAGTAATGTTATTAATTGATAATTTAGTCTGAAAATACACAATGGTGAATTTTACCAACAGCAAATTTATTAGATTTGAGTAGTTAATTGGGTCTATTCTTGGTTTTTTGTTAGTTATGGTTAACAAGGTATTTGGGACATAGGGGAGGGGGGTGGGGGAATGTGATTTGGCTTTTACCCCTTAGAACTCCAGTTGTAGTGTTCTATAGTGTTCTAATCAAATCTTGTCTTCAGTTCAAATCGCTGTTGCTTTGGCATATTCCTCAGGTCACGCATTCCACCTGCGAGCGAACCTCTTTGAACATAACTACTTGCTGAAATATCTGAAGGGTCTTTTTAAAAACAATCCTATGTTAGGCTGTAGTCCAATTCTTGGTCCACTAATAATGTAGAATATTAATTGAATAATAAAAATTACGATGGACCAATTAACCCGGGTTAACATTTTACGTTCAATGCCTTAGCTTATGTGGCATTGCTTGAACTTTAACAGAATCGAAAATCTCCTATATTTACGAAATTTACAACAGTAATTCTTCTCTGGTTAATTCAGCCTCTCAGTTCCAGCATTTGGCCACATCTGTATGGCGCTCTATTAGAATTTTTTATTTATATTAAATGGCAGGCTTCATGATAGTTATCACTAGACCCTTAGTTGACCTCGGGCTTCATAGAAGGGAGGAACATCAAAGTCACAAAAAGTCGAGGGGGGGGGGCAAGAGTAGAGTGATTCAAAGATGTAAAAGGAAAACAGACGCTATAGTTGTGAAAAGGTAAGGTGAGTACTGTGAAAGTGGCGAATATGACATGCTATCAGGTCATGGTAGTTTAAAGTCAGAAGTCAACTGACTGTGTGACCATACATTGCCCAGGGTGCACCACGTGGAGATAAGTTCATCGCGCACCCCATATTCGAATTATAATTCATGTATAAATTTTCCACACGACTTGCTTGGATTATCGACAAGTTAGAATTGCTTACCAAACCGAAAAATCCACGTTTCTTAACTTTCTGTTTGTTTTCATTATCATGTTCTATAGAATCTAACTTCCAAATAAAGACTGCAAAAAAATTAAGTTCACAGTTTCCTAACTTTCTCTGAAAAAAACTGTTGACATGAGAATTTGATGATGTGAATTATTTAATAATAATTACCTGATTTAGCAACTCCCAATAGATCGACTTATTAAACAATCCTTTCGCTCCAACAAATACTTCTTTATTGTCGATTTGCCACAAGAGTTCACAAATTACCAAGTCACTAGGCCCTAAATTTCATGGATTATTATCTTGATTCTAATCCTCGGCTCTTCATCGTGTACGGTGACGAAATTTATGAAATATAAGCATTGATTTGGGCAACTCTATCACAAATAATTCATTTTTAGTGCTTGATATATTTATTGTCTCTGAAGTCATACAACGAGGACTGTGCTAGCAATGCATCTACTATTGATTGCTGTTTGGCTGAGGAGTCTAGCTTAGACGGACTCGAAGGTGCGGTCGTGAGCAAGGAGCCCTCTCAGCCACCGATCAATAGAGCCTGCATTGTTTAGCAAACCTTTCATTGTGCCTTAGTGACTAATCTCTGTGACAGATACAGCCCAATTAACCGAGTTCCTGGACATCTGTCAGTTTCTTTATATATTTGAGTTAAGGTTGTTGATCCCGGGAGCCATTCCAAAGTCGAAGAACTTGCTCAGGATAATTCAAGGCTTATTAGTGCAGCGATCTGCTACAGGTCTCTGTACTCATGTCAGTACTTGCCTTTTAGAGCGATAATTATCACGGAGACACCTTTAAGACTGTTCGAGTGCGCTAAGATTTCTTTGATCAGCCCTAAGAGCCTTAATGTCTGTTTAACTGCAAGCGTAAGCATTTGAATTGTTGCTCAAATTAAAACAATTAGCAAGCCATGAGCTTAGTCGCAGTGATTATTTAGGCTATTTCATGCATTGCAAACTCAATTTTGAGGCTATTTAAGTCGAACAAATATTGATTTTATTGTCATATAAATCTTTTTTTGAATCTGTAGCCTATTGAAACTAGATTCAAAACCCCAGAATAACCAAGAGGCAAATCATCCTCTAATCACTGCTTCTCGAAGCAAGCTTATCTTTTGGTCCGACTCTAAAGCCACAATATCTAATTGTTAAAACGAGAAATATAGGGTAAATTAATGAAGAAAATATAAGCTTAAATAATAATCTAATTAATTTCTTCTAAGGAGAATTATGAGTTGTAATATAACTGCCAGTTATCTATATCGAGTTGGCAAAACTATAACTAAGATAGGCAAGCATGGCTTGGTGTTAACAACAAAATTATCTAGTGTAAACTTACTTTTCGGTCTCCACATAAATAGTCACTCTACGCGTTCGGTTATAGCTCAGTTACTTGAAATACCCCGTTAAGCAATACCCCATAAACATTCAAATTCAAGCAACTTCGAGACTTCGGCTACAGTATTTGATCTAATGAGAACTCTAGAGCGTCATCTTTAATGTTGGTCTGCATTGCTCAGCTGAATTCTTGTTATTGTTTAAGGTAAGTTTTCTTTGTTCTCAAGCTTTATACACTCCCTCCGCACCTCGCATGCGATCGATCTTATGCGTTTAGAAGACCTCACACGTTGCTAAGACGACTAACCTCGTTAGTGCCAGTGCGGAAGCACACTGGCACGCAGGTGACAAGTGTGTAGAACAAAGGGTAATTTGAATTCTAATTAGGAGAACGATGACCAATGGCTAGAGCAAGAGATATAGTCATCTTCAAATTTGTTTCATTTTTTCGTTACCTTTTCTAGTCCGTTCATGTAATTTTACGAAGTCTACTCAAACCTTATAAAATATTCAATTCTGACTCCTATCGTCATCTAATCTGACCTTGATATTCTTTAATTACTCTTCAGAACCATCATCATAGCTCAAAAAGCTCAGCCCATCAGCTATTGTTCCACTCTTGCAACTGTAGTTTACCATTGTTAGCTCTCAGCCATTAAAAGTCACTCCAACAGTATCATAACATCGAATCTCAAACTAGCCCCCTTTAGCAAGATCTTCTAACTGCTCTTAGTACCACAAAAATAAAGTAATCTATTGAAAAGAATGCATGAAGGCAATGGAGGAAATTCTCATAAGGAGTTTGAAGAACTCAAGATACAAAGCCTCGTTAACCAGATTAGTCTAGACCAAGGTTATAGCATTCAACAGTAGAAAAAAGATGGATAGGGGGAGGGGGGGGGAACGATTAAAATTATAGCGAGCAAACCTCTTAATGCAATGGTGGAAATTAGTGAAACACAGTTCTGGGGGCAACTTACATTTATAAGGTCTATATTCCAATGACATATTTAAGCAAAATTGTAAACCGAAATCGATGCGAGATAACCTTGTGTTTATAAAGAAAATTGGCGATTGCGCTTAATTAAGGCAAGCATTCAAGAAAAAAGGATTTTCAGCAAGTAAACAACTTACCGTGTTCCCACGGAGTTACTTCTAGCTCAAAGCCTCTTTATGAAATAATTCACGCAAACTCGAGTTCTAATTTTTTTTAAGTGTGAGTTAAAGTGGAATACTAGCAGTTTATATTCCCCAAAGTCACAATTCAAGGGTTAATAGTTTGTCCATTTACCCAAGTTACACACCCTAGGTAAACAAGACTTTTTTTTGTTCCAACTATAGCTCAACTCTCTCCCCCCCCCACCACTTCTCCCCTCAAGCGGCGTATCAAATTGTGGTAGATAAGATCTTCCCATAACTAGTAGCAAAATGGGACCGTTTGTTTTTAGCCTGATGTCATACCCTCATGTAAATTAGCATAATACATTTATGTACAACTGCAGATCTCACTTTAGTGAACCTCAAAGGGCGTAAACATTGTAATTTTCTAGATTTAACTCCAACAAGAAACACTGAATCGTTGAATAGAACACGCAATAAAGACATTCCCTTTCTTGTCCAAAATATGATAGATAAACAAACGCATTCATGAAATAAAACACTCTTGAGTAAGGAGTGTGCACTAGGTAGAAGGGATTGCTGGGGCGCATACAGTTGGGGAAATGGGGGGGAGGGGAGGGTTACGAAAAATCAGACAGACTGAGGGGCATAAAGGAAAAATCATCATCAGATTTGGCAGAAGGATCAAAAAGTAGATTGGAGGAAAGGGAAAGTCAAGGATAATAAAATAAATAAATAGCTAATGAAAGGGAAGGTGTTATTGAATTCTTCTTGGGTTAAGTATGAATTGTGTACAGACGTGTGCGACGATTTTTGAGAAATTGCCATTTACCTCATTAATCAACACCCTCAAAACCTTCCGCATTTTCGATCGCTATTATCAGCTTGCAACGTAATTCATCAAAAGTTTCATAGGGCGGTAAATCCAATCGATTGAAACTACAATAAACAAAGTGATAAGAACTTCAACCTAACCGCTGATATCGAAAATAAGCGGTGCAATACTCACCATGTATGGGCGCGTGGGAGCTGATCCGGAGTGCCCCAGCTTTCAATTGTGAATTTTTGGGGCCCCGCAGATCCCCACAACTCAACAAATCCGTTCATTGGCACGCGAGATGTTCCAGTAACGAATTGTAATAGACGACTCCTCAACTCGTTTGTGAACGTATAGAGAGTCTACAAGAAAGGTGGCAGTATAAATGAATATTACTAATTGAAATATAGTAGAAATAATATTTGTATCCCATTTTAATTACCTTCCAGAAATTTACAATTACCGGATGATTGGCGTGGTATTCACCCTTGTAAAGTGTGTTCGCCTTCCAATCGTGGACATTAATGTCCTGAAGACCACACATTAATAATTCGAGTTCATTCGCATCGAATAACTGCAAAGTTTCGAGAGGAATTAAGTCATTGAAACCCTCTAAAAAGGCGCACATTTGGTGCTCCACTCGAGACACAAATCGCCAGTTTATGATACGTCTGAAATGAAATTTAAGTAGGAGGTAAGTACGATGGTATACTCAAAACCTGATCTCACTAAATAAATGCCTCATTATTAAAACTTAAATGGCGCTTACTCGATATAATCCCGTTTATTGGCATTCGTGACGGGAACGTTCTTTCCGTTGGGAATCAACTCGACTTCGAAAGTTTCACCGAAGTGTTCCTCATCTACAGCGAATGTGAGTTCAAGGCTCCGTGGATCCGATTCAAGAATGTACTTTAGACTTCGATAGTATTCCGAGTCAACTGACTCCATATCCTTAAGACCAATCTTGCGTCCTAGCATCATTTTATAGAAGGGACGAATAAAGAAACCGTCAACCAGTTTTCCGTGGTAGACAGCCATACCACAGACACGACCAATGAATTTGAAGTATCGCAGATGATTCTCATTAGCCAATCCGGAGAGAGGGTTTATTTGAAGTGTATAATTATCGCTAAAAAGTTGTAAAAAACGGCCAGTAAAGCCTCTCGTATTATCGGAAGTGAAAATAGAACAAGGAAAATGAAATCACTTATGCGAGGACACAAAGACATAAAACTAAACAAAAAAGGACTCTTTTACAAAAAAAGCATTCACATTCAAAAGATATTGTAAACAAAATTCTAATCGGATCAATAGATAGTGCTAAGGCCACACGTGCCTGTTTTCAGAGAACTTTCAATGCTAATCTTGTCCGTGAGCTGAATTCTACGGATTAAAATTTGATTGGCATAGCCCCAATTCACACTTTTCTCCCCCCTCTCTCCCTAGCACCTTCCTTTGTCCTGTCTTCATATCTAGTAGATCCGGCCTTGTGTATGGCAATTGTGACGCAATTGTCAAACTGCCTGTCTGCAAAGCCAAGGGTCATGAGATTAACACACAGTGGCATGATAACGGAAGATTCCATTTAACAGTGATAAAAAATAGGGTTGATATAGAATGCGAGTTCTTCAAAATATTGGTAACAGAGCTGCGTCAATTCATGCAAAGATAACGAATATACACCAAAGGGGAGAAATTTCTAACTCTTATCAGATCAAAGAGTATCATAGAAACCTATGAAAGCAACTTACGCCGCAGAGTACTCAAACAACCCATAGTATGGATTAAACATTTCTCTTGAAAGCAAAAAGAACCACTCCCTCTGAACACCTCCATAGTCGAGTCCCTTTTCTCCCAAGAATTCGATCCAAAGCCTGAATAGAAAATGCAGCAATAAAAAGTGTACATTTACCGGAGATGTTTATTTACACCTCAAAATGGCCTACCGATGCATCAATATTTCAGGTTTCTTCACAGAATAGATCAGACGGAATGAGTCCTCAAACACTCCAGTCCGAGTGACCCGAATTTCAAATTTGGCAGACAAATCACGAGGAGCTCTCAGACGGGATCTGAAGTACTCGTATTTTTGTCGATAATTTCGAGAGTATGGCACAGCAGGTCCTCCCAAACGCTCTAATCGGGGATCTTCCCATTGTGTTGCTCGAGCGTCTAAGTGAAAGAATGTAGGGAGCATGTACAAATTATTCAATAAATATGTTACTGATAAATAGATAAGTAGACCCACTATGATTGATATAGAAAATCCGACCGTTTGTGTGAACCCGTTCTTCCCAACCAGGCTGAAGAGAGGAATTGAGGAATGGTCTAGTTAATGAAGACGCAAAAAACTTAAACTATTTCTTTCTGTTTAAACTTACCGGAAGAGGGCCTAGAGAAGGCATATCGTGTCGTTGGGCGTCCTTTGCCATAACGGAAGTTATAGAAGTCTCCGATTTGCCGGTCAGGGAATTGTCACCCCTCTTTCGTGGATCTTTCTAAAAATAGAAAATGAGACACCCTAAAGCACTTCATTTATAGCGTAAACCATCTGGACAAAAATATCATATGGATTGGGAATATTCAAATAAGAAATAAATTTGTAACGAACTCTACAGATTTTTGTGAAAGCATAGCTTCGACAAGCTTTACGCAATTGCTACCATGTGTGGCCATCACAACAGTTCCATTGTTATGAGAAAAGATAAACAGGGGAAACTCTTTCCACTTACAATCTTCTGCATTGAAAATGGAACTGGAGAATCGCACAAAGTTGGTTTTAAGAATGTTAAAGTGCTAATGAGACCTCAACAAGACACAGGTGAGCAAAACATTCCTATACGACCTACACTACAGGATCAATGGAAAGTTACTGTTGCGTATCGGCATAGTTCACCCGATTTCACGTTGTTCCAGAAGAGCGATAAGAAGAGCAGGTAAGTGAAAAGATACTTACCCACGTAGTAGTTTGGTCATTGTGGTTGATAAAGAACGGACGTCCATTTGCTGTGAGTGCCATTTGCCAACCCGGCGGAAGAGGGTCGTCATTGTGATTTACGACAGAAATACGCTGTTCAGACCCAGAAACAGAACCGTCAGGTACCGTCATCGCAAGAGTGGCTGGAGGCATTGTCTGCTGTTCTTGCTGTTGCTGTTGTCCTTCAGTTTGTGGAGATGAATGAGAATTTACTGATGTTGATTCGAGTGCGCTGGAAGAAGGAACTACTTCACCTGACGCTCCAGGAGATGATGCTAAGGTAGGAATGCGTACTTCATGCGTAGCTAGTATGGAAAGAAAGTAGCAAACTACAGACGACTGTTGTAAACAATGAGTAATTTGCAATCTCTCAATACACCAATCCTTATTTGTAAGGTTGAACTTTGTATGTATCAATACGACTTTTTGTGGTTTGCAAAAAAAATTCCCAAACCTATTGACAGAAGTCTTCACAGCCCTTGCGTAGAGGGAAGGAAACATGAAGTTGCCTCCAAGAAATACTCACATTTTACCCTCTCTCTCTCTCTCTCTTGTTGATCAAAGTTAATTAGAGGGATTAGCAACCCACGATAGTGGATGTGTACAGATGGGCCTTGATCCCATGCCCTTTGATTTGCCAGACCTGCGTGTCGACCTCTGCACCGCTGGTGCAAGTTAAATCTGTAAGAGATTTTGGAGACAGTATTAGTCATACAATTTCCATCAAATGTCGTATTTAAGCACCCTCCTTCATACTCTACACGATTTGTCTCTCAATTAGTTAGGATTACACTAGATAAGAATAAGTGCTGCCGTTGTGAAACTAAAGTTTCACAGCACAGTGGTGAAAGAGCCAGTCACAAATGATCCCAATGAAAAGCCTTGAAGGAATCAAGTAGTCAGGCTTGACTATAAAAGAGCTTCTTCGAATCACACAGCATAAATAAAACTAGAGAGAAGCAAACTGCCATAGCGAAAAACTTACCCAGTGAACTCCACTTCCTCAAATCTAAAAAAAGATTCATATAACAGCAAAGAAGCTGCGTGAATTTAAGTCGGTGGATATAATTGCTGAAAATAAGTACGAATGAGGTACTTCATTGAATAGCTAGCAATGAATCACCACTATTATAGACTCGAGGTTTCTCTGCGAAAGGAACAGGGAATAATTTGAGAATAATTTCTCAAATTGGACCCAGATTAATGGACCCTGACTCACGTAGGTCCAAAATCCAAGACTTTACTTTATAAAGCTAAGTCCAAGTAAGAGAAAAAATTCGTGGAATTTAAAGCATTTAATATAGAATAATATCTTACATTCTAGCTCTTCATTCTCCAAATCATGGGTGTCCGCCTTTGGCTCCTGAAATATCACAAGAAAAGTGGTTAAAAGTGATCACTGAACTACTGGGAGTACCAATAAGAAATTGCACAGTTCGACAACAGACGTATGAGCTCAGTTTGTAAAAGACAACTCTGTAAGTTTGCTTCTTAGCAGACAAATTGATCAGCATTAATTATCAGCAATACATTTATTTTGCATTGTTAAGAAATTCAATTCACGTGTCAACGGCCAACTATGCAATTAAGCTTGGAGCGTATGGGTAAATTGAATAGGATGGAAAGTACGATGTAGTCATATCAACTCTCACAGAAAACGTTAATTTAATTTATATCAAGACAACTAATTCGTCCATTTTAAGGCGAATTGTTATTGAGGCGAAGAAATAGATCGTTTATGACGGTGGTAGTGGGGAGAGGAATTGTTGTCTCAAATCAAACGCTCGTACCATCTAATAAATTAATCTAGCGTTAACCCATCGGAAACTCCCTTAAAGAACTTAGAGGGATGCATCTTGATAAATCCAATACAAATATCAAAGCCGTGTGAAACAGGTACAGCCGAAGTTTATTGTTGTCAACAATTGGGATGACTAAACCAGAAATCAAAAGACAAATGTTCAAATGTGATTAACAGAAAAGGGTTCGTTCTTCAACATAACAATGCGCTCAAAGCAAATCTGAAACACAAAAATGCGGGAATTAAAGTGGGAAGCTCCACAACATCTTCTCTATTCGCCATACCTCGTTCCACCCCATAACCAACTTAGCTGATCCATAAAGCATACTCCAAGGGCAAAACGAGATAGAAATACAACCGAAGTCGAAAGCCACTTGAACGAGCACTTCATTTCATAACGCTTTTTTTGTAGAGGAAAATGAAAAATTAAAATACACCAATGGGAAAGAATAGCAAATGATTGCGAAAATTATAGCCTATGGTATAACACACATAGTTTGAAAATAAGTAACAGTTTAATGTTGTTTATTGGAAATATGCAATTTCCTATTGACGCCCCTATTATATTGAAAATAGCTGTTACTTACGTTATCAATCGGGTCATGAGTGTCGGAAGGGACTTGAGAGCCATCAATTACATCTTCCGTTTGGGGAGTGGTATCCTCTGCCCTAACTTGATGTCTACGTAGGTACATGGTCTGTGCTGCTTGCTCTTGTTGTTCAGGCGATAAGGCTAAAAGAGAGATAATTAAATGTTCACAAAAGTGAATTGATGGAAACAAAGTAAGCAATAGAGATATCATTCCATTACTATTCATGTACGGGGAACGAGTTTGATAGTGAAGCGTTTGTACACCGTGGCGAAGAGTTCTACGAGCATCCATAGCATCTCGACTGACATCACAAGCAATAGCGTATGTGGAGGGATCTTCGATAATAAGCAAAAGGAGAACAGGAATAGTATGCGTACTACTAACAAATCAAAGTAGAGTGGCTGGATAGAAACTAACCATCATTTTCACTACCCGGTGTTCTGCCTTCGTTTTCCTAAAAGTGATAAAAATATTCGCCATTTCAAGAAATAACATTAACTACGTGAACAAACTGAGTGGTGTTTGTATTGAAAGACATAAAACATAAATTAAAATCCAAATACGATATATTTGGCCCAATAGATACAAAATTGTCAGTAAGGAATAGCGATAACACCAAATTAGCATTAAATACAAATAATTCCTGCACAATAGCCATCATTTCAGATTACTTTTCCTTCAGATAGAATTCGTGTGTGTGTGTGTGTGTGTGTGCGTGTGTGTGTGTGCATAATAGGATTTGCGGATAGAAATCTAACTTCAGTCTCTACTAATTACAATAATTCTATCGAATATTACCTATTTTTACTTACGGGACTTAGCGGACTAAACCAGGTCGTGCGATGATTGATATGATCGATGTAATAGACCCGACCACAAGCGTCCGTTTTTCGTTCCCAGCCCTCTGGAAGTTCACTAAAGAAAATAAATTAAAAGGAAAAGAATCGCCAACGATATAAGGGTCCTCGATCAAAAGGGAACCCAGATTAACAATGATGTTCGCGGAGTTATTCCTCTATTACAATAAAATGGAAGGTGTCCCATAACAATAAACTTAAAGCACCCTTTTATTTGAAAGATAGGACTATTTACCAGTGCCAAATCTACTAGGAAGAGAACACATGGAGGTAACAATTAAAGAAGGAAATGGCGGGAAGTATCACTCAAACAAGCGGGAGAATACACGTTAGTGATTACATTAGAGATAAAATGCTGTCATATCACAGAGCACGGCTTCATCATCTATGACTGCTATCCCAAAACCATGGTTTTGATAAATAAATGAGACCACTGAGGGTAAGAAAATCAACCACCTTACCCATTATTTATAAGAAACTAACATTGAACTAATATCTATGAATGGCTGAAAACACACATGAACCAAGTAGTAAGTAAATACGTTAAAAGAACCTAAGTAGTTTCAAATACCTGTAAATGCTTAAACAACTAAACCCGAGTGATGCATCAATTCTAACGAGAGACTGGCTTTCGGGCATCCCTTCTGTTTATTACAATTAACAAATACAGTTGGACACCAACCATATCTCCATGTTCATCAGCGCAATGAGTATTGATCTTGTGGCCTCTGACTTTGTGGAAAGTACACATCTACACTAGGCCACCGATGCACATATGCATGAAAACACCTTTAGTCGCCTTGTTACGAACGCATCGAATTCTAAATACCCCAACTTACAGTTTTAGAACATAATTGTGAACGATCAACAAATCTCATGCTAAAAGCTGGCCGAATCAAGTAACCATAATTTAAACGTATGCAAACCTCATTGGACGATCCCACTGTGTTCTCTTATGAATATGATCTACATAATAAGTTCTTCCATTCTGGTCTATTCGTTCATCCCACCCCTCAGGCAAAGCCCTATTCTCTGCAACTCCCCCATCCGTAATAGTAGAGCATGACATTGTCAACGACGATTCCATTTCTGGGGGAGTTAGTGATGACGGCCTTGGTGGCGGTGAACTCGTAGAATAAGGAGGTGCTGGCGATAACTGAGATGAAGATTGCGCTTGTTGTTGTACTATTGATGAGACAACAACAGGGTCTTCTGAATGATTGTTTGTTGTGTCAGGGATGGATAAAGAAGGATTAATTGAGGCATTGGTTGGAGGAGGGAGTAATGCTGCACTGGGAAGGGAGAGCTATAGGGAAGGATAAAGTGGTGGGGTTTGTCATTTGAGTTAAAAGAAGAAAAGCACGAGAAAGAGGGTGCTCGACTTACACGACTAGAAGCAGAAGACATTTTGAGCACATTGTCAGTTATCTGGGTATGTCGAATATCGACGGTATGGGGGAGGTAGGAGAGACCGATCACAAGCCTTCCTTGAACGCTAGACAGGGTTCTAAAAAGAACACGTTTATGAGGAGAGAGTACGATCAGTCGACTAACACTTTGTAGTAATGTAATGGCCATCCACACAATGGTCTCATCAGAATGACTAGATATCGTACAATTTAGTGCTAAGATGGCTTCTGTTAGGAAGCCGAACCTAATACTTTTTTAATGTACTTGTTTTGAGAGTCAACAGACTTCGTCCACTTTGCTATCGATAATTGACAACTGGGATTGAGTCAATGAGTGAAATTACCTCGTTGCTGTACTACACGCTAAAAAAGTGGCCTATTAATCGCCTTTACTTATCCAGAGAAAAGTGAAGAAAAAGCAGCCTCAATTCTTCTATTTTGGGTCTGACCAACCGTATCAACAGCACAACCAGCGTGGTAAGCTAGCGATTACATGAAGCAACCTAAGTATACCACTGGCCACAAATATATTTGTGATAACCATCGTAACCTCATTGTGACTATTTTCCCGAATAATAGGCCAAGGTACATACTCTGAGAAATAGAACTGGATTCAAAAACGTGATATACCAGAGGGAAAATATGAATTCCAAGATAATTCCATAGACCAGGGAGACTATAATTTCCAGAAGAATAGTCCATAGGGGAAGGGCGACAACCATAACGAGTCACTTTGCCAGATTGCAATTATGACATGTTTCCGAAATAGGCTTGAGTTTTACCATTAAGATTACTACTTTGACAAAATAATACCTTAGGTAATAACCTTAAATTAAAAGGACCAATTGAAAAGAACTACACATTAAGTACTTTACATCTCAATTGAAAGAAACAACAAAAGCTAAAAGAATACGAAATATTCAAGAGGGACCTTACTCATCAACGCAGAACTGAAATCTCAATAAAAAGGACGTTCTATGAGTCTGGTCGTTTGGTTGAGGAGAATAGTTTAGACTTGGCCAATGAGACATGGGAAAACGCATGTTTACCCAATAGCTCATTAAATCCCTTTAAATCAGTCCCAGTATGTAAAAGTCTCCGTTATTGAAACAAAGTTGCCTTAATTAAAAGGGTCAACGATTGTCAGATGCATCAAGAAGGCACCGATATCAAATTGAAGAAATTAAAGGCTACATAACCTTTGTTTTACTTTAGCGTGTATGGGGGCTCAAATAGGTTTCTCATTATTATAAAGAGGGGGTGTGCAATAGACTTACCTCCACGTGGTGCACCCTGGACAAAGTAAACTCATACGGAAAAAAGTCTATTAATCGGCAGTTGACCTCTGACTTCTAGCTAACATGACCCTACTGTATGTCACTTTGATGTTCCTTCCCCTCTGTGAAGCCTGAAGCCAATAAAGGACTAATGATAACTATTAAAACGCCTACCATCTGATATAAATAAATTATTAAAAAGAGTCTAGTTCTCAAGATATTTATGCAACCCGAGGAATCTGACACACGTGTGTGAATAAATATGCGAACTAATTTGTCTGATCTAATTTGGAAAGTTAGACAAACAGCGAAGTTTCAAAGGTTAAAACCTGACGATTGGATATGTTTTTTGGTTTGTAATTAAGTGCTTTATGTACAATCATAGGGAGAACATCACGTTTAAAAACTAAATTATAGTCCAAATTTCACGTGAAAAGATACTAAGCTTTAAGTGTTATTAATGTTAAGTAACTGATACTTATATCAAGAAGAGCTTTGTTGCGGTAGATGCAAATCTTTGGCAATAGTTGCAACTCAAATTATAAGGATGGGGGGGAGGGACGCGAACGCTAGCCAATTAAAAAAAACCTCGATCAATTCCAAATGGAAGGTTTTATGAAACTTATGGTCAAAAAAGTTTTCTTTTAGGGATGCCTTATAAATGAAGATAGATAGAAATAAAGAGCATAAAATCCATAAAGGTATAAGGGATGAGTGCCAAGAAGCAATAGAGAGAACAAAGATACGAGGAGAGCACATTATTTTACAACCTCCCCCCCCCCCCCCCCAACATTTCTCTCTTTGAAGCCGACAATCAACAACCTTCATAGATTAGATTTAAACTAATTACATTTTTTCCGACAATCGCAGTACGTAAAGAGGCATAAATTCAAACTCAAGACAGTAGGAAATCTTTACTTTCAAGGGAGAAAGCGTTAAATTTTGCTTTTGTCAATTCAGCAAATGGTTGATTGAAAACAAATCTACTTAAATTAGGCTTTAGTTACACAATCCCTTTAGTTAAATATGAAAAATACAAGAGTGATTTTGAAGAGAAAAAATACCAGACAAGCTTTAAGTGGCAACTAATCACGAAAATATCTGGCACAATGGTCAAAATGTCATAATATTAGCAAAAGAACAAACTCCGCAAATACACTACATACTACATTACAGTATTTGCGAATCTGAGAGATTCGGATAATATTTTATCTGTTACCGATTTAGAAAATCACCTTAAATCACCAAACCAAAACAAACATGTAAACAACCACAGGAATTCAGACAAATTAGGACTGGAATGTACGAAAATACGAGATCGCGCAAATTGAAAGCACTCCACTAACTACGATAGATAAAAAACGTTAAACACTAATAGCTCGTGTAAAGGTTCCGATTTTTAATTATGGGGAAGAATTAAAGCTGGCTAAAAGTGTTTGTTCACATTAAACGCTTCCACTTTTACTCGATCTCCTCAATTTAAGGAGGCTTTAAAGAAAATTGGAAAAGTAATTGCTATTTATGAAGGCCAGAAAGAGCTCTAATAAAAGCCAGTAGTATTTACCAAGTTTAGCTAAAATTAACAGCAAGAAAAGCAAAACTAAGGTTCAATAATGAAAGAACCAATTTCTAATCAGTTTATCGGAAAATGAACGGATGTGAAAAAACACGGATCGATAAAAGGTGCTCGATTAAAATTAAAAATGTTGAGCATTAGAAAAAAGGTGTGATAGACCTTTGCACGAATCGATGAAATGGGAATTAAAATCCATTATTAGCCGAAAAGGAGAATGAGATAGAAAAGGTTAGAGATAATAAAAAATGAAACCAAACATAGAAGGAATATGATTGGTGTTTTTTAACAGTAAATGAGGTGGCAACATTTAGATCAGCACTACACTGGCATCTAAAATTAGAACATGTCGTAAAGAATGATTAAAGAATATCCACCAAGATCTTCAAGACAAGCTCCAAAACTGGATGTCCGAGAATCTCATACTCAACTAATTATAGGCTCAAGTGAATAAACAAAACGACATCCATGAGGAAGCTTCCATAAAAGACTCGCGTGATAAAGAAAAAGAGATCATGTACGACAAACCGAGCATTTTAAATAAATTAAACTATACAATTAAAGCCTTGCTATTCAAATAACTCCTGGGCGCTAGCAATAAATGTCAATGAGAAATCTATATTTATAGACCGATATATATGGAAGCTAAATATTTCGATCGAGAATTATTATTTTTGGAAATAATAACGCCAGTTCTGCCTCATTATTAAATAGAAAACAAGAGTTTGCAAACACAATTTTTTTTAATTCTCAAATGTTCACCAAAAGAGAACAGACAGATATCAAGACAATTTCATCTAAATAGGCTCTGAAAATAGAATTATTTGTTGAATTCAAAATTAATGAATATGCCACTATTTACCCTATATCATGAGTAAATTTTGACAAAAAACAGAAATGAAATCCGGAATCAGAAAATGTATTCCCAAAAATCTTAAGCTATCAATAGCTGAGGTAAGTTAGAATTAATAAGAGTTTTATAATTTGTCTAGAAAAATCATAAGCCAATATAAAACAAGAAGTTTAATGGATAAAGTCAATGCATTTTTCTAATATTAGAAGAAAATCGGAGAAAAGATGAAGTTTGATGAAGTTTCAGTACAAGGGATCTCCATACATAACATTAAGGAAAAAGAAAAAGGGTTTGATAACGACAATAACTAAAAGGTGACATAAAATAAAAAGAGAAAGAATTAACATAAAAGAACGTTAGTTAAGTAGTATATAAACAAAGATGGCAGAGTAATGAAGAAAGAAAAAATACTTACCTTCTTTGTTTGAGCAAATAAGATTTTGCCGTGTTACGAGAGAGGTTCTCAGCTCCGTCAACGGGAATATCGGTTTGAGGAAGGGAGATGGAAACATAGCCAAGAAAGTTGTCACGAGTAATCCGATTTTCATCAAAAATCTCGAAGATCAGTCGATTACTTTCAGGGTTTACACGAAAATAGAATTCCTCATTCCACTCGGGGTCGAGACTTCGTTTGATTGTACGAGTGCGAACGCTATTTCCAAGGCAAGAAGTCTGACGAACGTCGCGGTAGAGACTTAGTCGGCAGTATGGATCAGTAGTGCCAAATATATCCCTTTTCATTAATGATAAACCACGAACAACTAGAACTTTGAGAATCCTTTGACCGGGTAAAACCTAACGGTGAAATGAATAAACAAAATTAATTAAAGCATGAAACGGACACAAAAGGTTAGAGAATAAGTATTGAAAAAGAAAATACATTAGTAACATTTCAACACCACTCCCGAAATATAAAAAAGCGTTTAATGTACGAACAATTTTAACGAAAGTCACAAACGGATTAATGAAAAAGAAAGAATGCAAACTAAACTAACTTTGTCAAAAGGAATGCCACATAAATTCCTATGCGACAATACTTGCGTATTAGTCACCGAAGACATTGAAGTAGCTTATCGAAGAGAAGTCATATTAATTCAGCCGGCTTGATCGGTGTATGCTTTAAAGAGAGTCGCAAAAAATTCATCAGCACTGCCTATTTAACTTCAAAATTATATATATATATATATATATATATATATAGTAGTTATAAATTATATATATATCTTATGCAAATAGTTTTAGAACAAAGACGCAAAAAATCGAAGATCACAAAAATTATTTGAGGTTTAGAAATTGATACTAAAAAAACTTAAAATCGTGAAGCGTTTTTGAAGCAATAATAATAATTTCCAGACTAAGTAATTAAAGTACTCACCAGCAAACTCCATATATACTTAATAGGATAGTCACAATGCCTTATTTATTAACTTTAATAATAGTAATGTTGACATTTTGTCATAGATTTCACCAAAAAATTAATAAGTTTTAATGCTTACTAGTATGCTTTAAGTGAAGATATGCATAAATATATAGAAAAATTCCATGAATTAATCTTAATTGGCATAATTTACAAAGAAAAGAATAATTTGAATCATCTAAATATTGCTACATAATGTTCTTAATTATGTTTCGTTAATTTTATAAACTGTGAAAATCTTGCTAATATGAGCATGATTAACTACATTGACAAATATTATTAAGTTAAAGTTACTTTACATTGTAATATTTTGATAAAAAATTAAAATTAAAATAATTTTATGGCAATATGATTTATTTTTAAGAATGACAGTCAGAATTTATTAGTAGACTTGTTTGTTTTTTCCTTATAACTACATTTTTTGGCGCTCGATTGATTGATATTATTTAAGAGCGTAATTTTATTTCTTAATTATTTTTTATGTGAACTTGGATTTTTATATTATATGGTATTATTTTGTTCTCTAAATTTATTTTTATATATTTTCTGCGTTATTGTTAGATGGCCTTAATGGATAGTTGAATACTTGTTTTTTGTTTTCATTAATTTGTAAAATCTCTCATAATATATTTGTCGTTAGTATTTTTATATATTTCCTTTTTTATTTCCTAATATTTTATTATAATTGGATTATATCGTCTTCCTTTATTTTTAGGGAAATATTTATAAACGTCTACCGTAAAATGCGGCCTAAAAAGAATAGGCGGCGGGGAAGCGGTAATAGCCCCGCGAAATCGCCGCCGCTTACTCCCGCCAAACCTCCAGGTCGTCGTGGTAGGCCGCCTTCTAAATCCATTTCTTCTGCTCTCCATCATCCATCAATTTCATCCCACGAAAATAATCACAATTCCCTCTCTCCTGAACACTCAAGGACTTCCAGTAGTGATCAGGATGCTTATCACAGTCACCAAGCTTCTTCTCAATTTAACTCTAATCCCGTTCTTCCTCCTAACCTTGGTAAATTTCTTTCGCTTTCTATTGACATTTTTATGTTATAATTTTTATTCTTTTTTTAACAGGAGCCCCAGTTAATTCTAATCTCCCACCTTCCTACAGCTCTCCTAACGAAGCTTGTAAGTTTTTTGTGATTAATTCTGCTTTTTTTCTACTTTCGTAATATTTATTCATTCTTCTTAGTTGATCGGCCTCGAAAGTTGGCTAAGCGTGAGCGACGGGCAATTATCAAGTACAGTCGTCGTTCACGAGCTGTGATTGATGAGTCCTTTCTAGCAACCATGAATGACCTTTCCACCAACTTCTACTCAAACTGTAGTATTGGATCTTTTAAGCCTCAGCCTATTCCCAGAGCGTCAGATCCTTCGAATCCTCCAGCACCCGTGTCTTTACCAACATCTCCACTCCCTCAAAATTCATCGCCTCGTTCGGTCAGAGGTCGAGGTCGACGTAGTAAACAATCTCCTATTTCTTCGATTCCTTCAAAACCTCCGAAACTCTCTATGGTCTCCTTTTCTCCTCTCTGTTTACCTTTTAATGGTTTTCCTAATCAGCTAAAGCCACCGATTACCAAACTGGAACTACTGTCACACAAATGCGCTCGACGGTTTCTTGTAAGTGCCTTGTATTTGTCTGATATGCAAATTAATCTCTGACCCTTGTCGCTGGTTTGCGGAGGCTGCTTTGACTTCCAAACGCACTGATTCACGCTGTCACACGGGACCTCAAGGTTATGAGTGGTTGCGTGATATATATTCCACTTGCGTTGTTTCTCTCGCATTTTCAATTGCATTAAACTTTTAGACGCTATATGTTGAGGAGCCTAAATGAGTTGTTTTGCATTTATTTACATATTTTTTTCTTAAACTGTTTTTAGTTCTGTCCCCAGTGCTATATATTACGATTTTTAATTTTCTGTAATCATTTTAATTAAGATTTGTTCCGTTATCTGTTTAACAGTTTATTTATTTAGCTAGCGTCCTCGCCATGTGTTTAATATGCTATTTATTGGACGACTTGATTTGTTAAATGTGTACGCAGTTGTAAACATTTTTAATTATGTAATGGTTCAGGAGGGTGTCATTGGGAATTCGGTGATCTTGCTCTAGGACAGATTTTTCATCGTGACCTTTGATAATGGGTTTACTTTATTTTCCTGTATTGTAGTGCCTAATGGTGGTAAATAGTGTCTGTTAGTTTGCGACTGTAGTAAAGTTAATAGTTTTTGTTTGCCATTGTTGTGCCTTTCAATTTATTTCAATTCTTTTACGTTTAAGGATATTTCATAAGACTTTCTTACCATTTTCAAGTTTATACCATTTTTGTTCAATGATTAATTTCATTTTTGTTTATTATATTACCTCTTTCATCTTTGCCCATGATGTTTTATCTTTTGTGTGAGGCCCTTAAAATTAACGTAATCGTATCCCATTGTAAACCCCATGTATGACCATTTTATTCGCTCATTTATAATTTCTGATTGAATTATTTGTAAGGAAATTGTCTATTCCCATCTTTCAACAATGTATTTCCGAGTTTGTTCATTTATTTTTTTTATTGAGTATAAAATATTGTCATTTACGTGATTCCAACCAAACTTTAATCTGTCTGCTTTTATTTTAGTTTCTTTCTATCATAGTGATGCTAGTATCCCTCACTTTGTTTCGTTGCTGCCCACCTGTTTATATGCTATATTGTTTGCTTCCATTTAAACCTTTTTTGTTGTTATGCTAGGCTTATAAACTACATATATCCACTCTTAATCAATTAAATTGATTGATCTGATTTAAAATTTATATTTGTTATCAGACACGTTCGATTTGGTTTAAGGAAACAATTTTCTTTGTGGAACAGCGCTAATTGTACTTTGAATACTTAAAATTGATGCATATTTCGTGAAATCGATCGTTTATTTTGTCCGACATAACATGCATTGCAACTTTCTATTTAGTGTCGTCATTCTACCCTACTCGGGTGTTGTTAACACAATTTAATAAACTTAGAAATCTGTTAAAGTTTTAAATCGCTTAAACCAAGTAAGACCGCCTAGCACGCGTCTATGTCCAACTCATGTCCTATGGGTTCACTTCGTATTTTTTATAGAATGATTTGTTTTAATGCACAAGTTTTATCCACAAATCTATTATTTTTTAGAAAGCCGCCAATATTCTCCTTATTCCCTCAACAACGGTCTCACGATTTTTTGAACCTCATGATTCCTCATCAATCTACCTACCGCCTCCTCATCCTACGCCTTCCCTTCAACCTACTCAAGCGTCATCCCAATCCGCATCAGTCTCCACGGCAACCACTATTGATGCATCCACTACAAGTATCACAACAGCTAATAGTACAAACGCTACCACAGCTGTTGGTCAGTTGAATGGTTTTATTTGTAATGACACCGCTACTGTACCGACAGCTAATACGCTGACCAGTTCTACAACCCCCCTCGTTTCCCCTACTAAAAGGGGACGCGGTAGACCTCCGAAATCAGCCAAGAAATCCTCTTCACCTCAACCACCTCTTCCAGATTACCCGCCCTCTGCTTTTCTAACCGCCCAACCGTCAATCAAATCCAAGTCGTCCTTATCAAGGCGAGGTTCTACAGGAACTCCGAGAGAATTAAAACATCTAGTCACCTGGGATGCTATGATGAAGGCCGCTAGTCAGGAATCCCTTAACTCTGGGGGAGGGGATCCAAACAAAGGCTCTATAGATGCTGCTTCTCCTCTTACGCTTCAGATTCTCCCAAGTCCTAATGAAGAGGGACCAGACCAAAGGACAACTCGTGGAAGGGTGAGAAAGGTGTCAGTTGGGCCTGCTTCCTCTCTTGGGTCCGGAAGTGAACATGCTCCCTCGAATAATTCCTCGTCAGTTGTCAAATCATCACTATCGCCTACAGGATCAGAATTACGATCGGGCCACTTTAGAGAGGATCTATTACTGAAAAATGTGAGTTATTAAGGCTCGTTTAAAGTATTGTTTTGTATCTCTTATAAGACGTGGTGAATTGTAGTGAATATTAGGGCAGTTCTATCCCTGTGGTTGTTGCTTTTGAAGTTATTTTTTTCTAGTGAATGAGTTATCTAATTAAAATTATTTCGAAAGTGAATTGCAATTTAATTAAGAAAAAACAACTAGATTTCCTATTGCTTAGATAAATATAATTTGTAGAAATTTATAAAGAACATTGAATGTCTTATTTCTTTCTTTAAATTATGATCTAGATGCAAATTTTTAATATCTACCATCGACGTAAGTTTCGTCTTGAACTGTTTTAATTTGCTGTGTAAATTACCCTAACTAGTTTGATTCCAAGTTGCCTAGCTTTATAACTAACCTCTAGATAAATTTAGTCTTATTACTCAAATTTGTACGCGAATAGGAGCCACGTAGAACCCCCCTCCAATGCTAGATTCTAACAATTTCACGTTTGGCGCTTCTAGAATTCATTTTTATTAGGTTGCGTTGATTGTGATATAAGAGACTGTTTATATCGACAGTGCTTACTAATTTTCTTCCTCAAGGTAACCCATTGCCACACTAGATCTTAAACTTAATAGAAGAAAATGTATCCTGAAGGATACTTCACGGTTATGTTATTTGAATCATAAGCGTGTAAAGGATCGGTAGTTAATGGAAGCATCCCAATGAGTGGCTAACCAATCATAGAAAATCAATGCCCTCACTACATCGTATGGTTTATATTTACCTGAATCTTTTAGGAGCATTCGCCACCTGTTGAGATTCATCACGCTAAAGGTGGGAGAAAACGTCGTGCCACACCACCTCGTTACCAGCCAATCTCTGAGGAAGTTACAGCTCTTGCATCTCCAGCTTCAACCACCGGTGCTATCACTAAGTTGCTTGATGTTGATACTCTTCAAACTGGAGGCACCGTGCTATCATCCGCTGCTCTTCTTCCACCACGCAAACGCTATAAGGGTGTGTCTGATAAGCCGGGAAGTGATAACGACTTACCAGGAGGGTTAGTTGCTACTGATGACGAGGAAAGGGAATCTGTCTTACGTTCTTTCTCTTCTTTCCCACAACTGGATGAAGATGTAGATGGTCTGAAGAGCCAGGAACAACTTGGAAAAGAAATAGCTGCTGTAGAACCTGAGATTCCTAAAAAGCGACCTAGAGGTTTGTCCTGTCGATTATATTAAAAACGTCTAATTAGTTGTTCGTCAAATCACTCTTTTCGTTTTAGGTCGACCGAGCAAAAGAAGCCAATCGCCCAGTGGCCGACCGAAAAGAGAGGTAAGATTTTGTGCGCAGTCTTTAGTTCAGTGGATGTTTCTGTTTGTTTCGCTAGTATTGAAGCTTAATATGAACTTTTTAGCTTGAAAATTGTTGTTGCATTGACCGGTGGGAAGGTTTGGGAATGCCTGTTAGTTAATTGATTGATGGACTAGTATGTGTAGGTTTGGTTTAAATGTTCTAATACCTTTTAAGCAAATGTATTCTTATAATAAATTCATACTGTGGTATGCCCTCATTTTGCTTTAACAGCCAATCGGAACTGAACTTTTCTCAAATTATGAACGTATGTTCCATTGGTATGATACTTGTTTGTAATCAAATTAACGGATTCCTCGTTTAAAGCACATTACGTTACTATTCCTAAATGTAATTGTTTTAAGTTCCACCATATGGACCATTATTTCTGTTATTTAATTCATCTAAACAAAATCTATCATTTGAACGTATTCGGGCACATGTCTTCTGATTGGGATAAGAAAAACAAATTAGGCGATGTCAGCTTTGAAATTAAGATTTTTTGCTCAGTTTCAATTCCTTCCTTCAAGTTTCGAGTGCTCAGTTGTAGTTTAAGGATGCAAATTGGGATTTTTGTCCCTTCTTTAATATTATCCAATTAGAATTCATCTGACAGCAGAATAGAACGCTTACCCAACTTACACTTAGATAGTGGCGTCATAACAGTTTCTTACTGTAAACTAACGCGGTTGTTCTCTTCACTTCTTCCATTTCAGTAACCTTGGCTTGCTCTTTCTTTATTGCTAATGTACGATTGCGTAGCTATTACGCTATTTTAAAATGGTGCGAATACTGTCTATGTAATCTTTCATTTTCCCATGTTCTTTGTTCAGCATAAATATGAGGTCATTTGCGGATAGTTTTGTTACTTTCACGAAAATGCTAATAGGAGTAGTTTGCGAATTCAAAGAAACAGTAAGAAGGAATTTGCGCCTAATGTATGTTTATTTGTAATAAATGTAGGACTCAAAGTCGTATTCATTAATGAAATTCTTATAGTAATTTTTAACAAAGTATTGTGCCATTAATTAATCATTGTTTAATGTTCATATGATAGTATACTTGCCGTTTGCAAAGTGTGAATGTCTTCGACCGAATTATAATTGATATGTTTATTGTGGTAATTTGAATGAATGGAAACCTGGGTCGAAGCTAAGTCTTGATTATCGCCAATCTCTTGTCGTATACCCGTAGAGCAATCTAGTTTTTAAAATTTCAAGAAATGGGTATAATTTTATTATGAATAATTCCGTTGCAATATCCCCTTGTAATTTGGGTTATTGTGATGGAGGTAGATTGACGTAGAAATGAACACTTCGGTGTGAATTTGTTGAACATGTATGGAAGTATTGCAGCCGCATAATCCATAAGGGGTGAGGTTGACAGGTTTAGTCAAAGTAGCCTTCGAATCAGCTACTATTGATGGATTGTTTTAGTCAGTAACCAAGGCTACTCATTGCTGTTTGTTATGTAAGTAGTAGCTCAAAACTAGCTAGAAAGGTGTGGTCAAATATTTCAAATAACGGTTTTCTCTTTATTAAGAATACGGCTTTATGTACACAACGTGGGTATAGGGGGATTTATTGTGTACCTGACTGACAGGAAATGTTGTAGTTGTGATAGTCCGTATTTGGGTCCGAACGTGGAAACACAGCCCTAAAAGCGGGGTCTATTTGCGTATTTTACTTCAGTTCCCTGTAGGTTTTGAAGTCTCTGGCTTTCCTGTTTTCCTTACTTCTGACCCAGATTTTGCTTAGGCTTCAGAATTTTACTGACTCAGAGAGCCGCCTTTGTCATAAAGTTACTTGATATGGCTTTCTATCCATTAAAAAGGTCGGCCATCTGGCAAGTAAAACAATTTTGATTCTCTGAAATATTCTGTTTAATTAGTGTTTTTGTAATTTAGTGCTTTAATAATTCAAATGGTGCTATTTCTGCGCCAGCATCTAGTGAAAACGCCTTCCCTCTATAATGAAATTTCTTGTCGCAATTTATTAAACAATTGTATCCCTTTCGGTGCTTGGTATGGTTAATTTGTCGGTACTATTGCTCGCAAAGCCAAATAACGTACCTTTGTTTTGAATATGATTCTTTTCTCCTTTTCCCAAGTTTTACAGTGTAAACCTAATTAAATTACGGATTCATTTGGTAATGGTGGCTAGAAGTGGTGAATGATTTTGCGATTCTAATTGTTTTTAAGTTTATCGGTCGTGGCTAACATTTTAGTCACTCCCTTGTCGTTACCACGTTGATACATGCTAGTTGCATGTGCAGAGTCTGTTCTGTTCTACAAAATATTGAGCCAAGTTGTTAGTTGTTCCAACTGTATATCATTTCTCCACTTAATGTCATCACATGGGTGGACTTTGTCGGTGTGATTGGGAATCCACTCCAATGTATTTACTTCGTGCTTAAAAGAAGTCCTGGAGTTATATCATTTTTTGTCGATAAATGGGATCTCTTAATGGCCGCAGTGGCATTTGTAATTTAAAATAGATTAATGCTATCACGTTGAGTCAAAGATTTTATTTGCATTTAAAGGCTGCTGCGATTGGCTTCGCAAGTATGGTTTCTTCCTCCATTAACTCCACCTCAGTGCATTCAATGATGACGGAAAGTCAGCAGCTCGGTATGTCTGCATCCCCATCCACCGCTGATGAGGTTAGGAGAGACGAGTTGTCGGTTGTGGCTCCACCAGTACATACTCCTGGAAAAAGGGGAAGGAAGCCAAAGAAGTATCTTCTGCAAGCAACAACAGCAACATCATCTGCGCCTGCAGTTGTAACTTCACCGAAACCGCGTGGAAGACCGCCTAAACATCCGAAACCTGCAGTAGTAGAGGGTAAGCAATCAACTGTGTTGCATTCGTCACCATGTATATCCGTCATCCCAGTCGTCGAGGGTTTGATTCTCATCGGTACATGCCCATGGGTTGAATAGTCAACTGTATTTTTTTTATTATATCAAATGGCAGGCGTTTTGATTGTTATCATTAGCCCTTTAGTTGACTTCAGTTTTCACAGAGGGGAAGGAACATCAAAGTGTAAAAAATTCAAGAGG